TCTCTGATGCCGCTCTGTACTCCTCGATCACTCACTCATACATAAACATGCGTATACAGGTGACTGCTTCACTCACTAAGGCCTTAGTGAGTGAAGCAGTCACCTGTATACGCATGTTTATGTATGAGTGAGTGATCGAGGAGTACAGAGCGGCATCAGAGAGCAGCACAGCACACCACCATCGCTCATTCTCATCGTGTCTCGGTTGCTTATCGCGTGTCTCATTCATGTGGCAAAGCAATCACCACAAAGCAATCATTCCTGTCAAGCAATCAGCCCATTGGTGACTGTGATCACTCTGATCACAAGCAAAATGAACCGCATAAACCAATCACTCACTCATCAGCCATCCAAAGCGACCATTTCATGGCTCAAAATGACCGCAAGACACATGAAGCACCCCTCTGTGAAAGAGCGGAAAAATAAAAAAGTGACTCCACGGAGAAAGACAGACATTTTGATTGTCATCTTCTGAGATGAAACATTCTCGATTTTGCGACGAAAAAGCGACCTGGCAGTCGCCGCTTGAGCCACGATGACATGAACGGAAGAGCAGCGGCTTCGCGCTTGAAAGGCAGCAAAGGCCCATATTTTGGTGACTCACAGGATGGTCAGCTGAGTCATCTGAGGCATCCGATGAGTTCACATAGCACAGAAGTCCGTTTCACGCTGAGAAAGAGTCCGTTTGCCAAGAAAGCGAATTGTGGCCGCTGCGTGTGTTGGCGACTGCAAGGAGAAAGAATCTTCTCATGTACGATTTCGATTCAGACGGATATCATATCACATAAAAACAACCATACGGTTTCAACTAAGAGCCAGTATGTAGTATTCCGACGCCTACTTAGTCTAGGGTTTCGGGGATTAGGGTATAGGGTTTTGTTAAATCTTGCAACCTCTTTCGTTCAACGCTCTCTCCCTTTTTTCTTTTCCCCCCCAACCTTCTCTCCCCAAAGGTCCCTCGCCCTTTCCTTCCAGGCCCCACGTGATTCAAGAGTCCCATCCCCGCCCGGCAGCTGTTGCAACGATGTCGAAGCTTTGCAAGTTCAAGTCCGCCAAGGACATGGCTCAGTACATCGAGAAGGAGAAGGTGGAGCTCATCGACTGCTGCTTTGTCGACCCTTTGGGGCTCTGGCACCACTGCACCTTCGCGCCAAGCCAATGCGAGGAGGATGACCTCGCGCAGGGGCTGCCCTTTGACGGCTCCTCAATCCGCCTTTTCCGAAGTATCATGGAGAGCGATATGCTCATGGTGCCCGGTGAGTCAGCCAAACGGACAAACGGACGGAACTACGGGCAAAAGTGCGGCTTCTCCCTCTCCCCCCCCCCCCCC